CACTTAGGTACGTAGTACTAATATATTAGTAGGGTATTAATAGGGAATCGTACCTACCCCGCTTATATATTATAGACTACTTACTATTTTAACGAAAGAGGAAAAATCCCTCTTTTTATAAGCTTTAGTCTTATAATAAGGAGAATATTATATATATAGTATAGTACCTCTAGCTATCTCTACTACCTAACTAATTATACTATAATATATATTCCCTTATACTAAGAAGGCTTTAAAGATACCCTTATATAGGCTAAGGGTAAACTATATAATTAACTTAATACTAAATAAAGATAAGGTAGAGCCCTTATTAATATAAAGACCCCTTTATAATATATTAAAGGAGGACCTTATAGTACTAAGGAAGACCCTAAGCGAGCTAATAAAAGTAAACCTAATTTACTTAAGTAGCTCCTTAGCTATAGCCTTAATACTCTTTACTTAAAAGTTAAACGGTCGCTTATAATTTTACTATAATTACTAGGCACTAAACGTAATTATAAAGAGGGATAGGTATATACTACCTTTAATTATAGAGATACTATAAATACTTTCGAAAGTAAAGTAGTTTATAAAGCTCGATATTATAGTAGCGTTCTATAAGATTTAGATAGTAAAGGGCTATAAGTTTAAAATAGTATTCTAAATAAGGTTCGGATTATTTAAGTAGTAAGTATACTTATTTAGCTTAATAAGGACGCTAGCTACCTTTTAATAATATATTAATAAGGTGTTAAGGGAATACCTATATAAGTTTATTATAGTATATATAAATAACGTCTTAATCTACTTATTAAGGTCTCTTTAAGACTACTAAGAGAAGGTAGTAAGGGTACTTTAAAAGCTATAAGAAGTAAGCTTAATACTAAACCTAGGGAAGTATAACTTTATAATAAAAAAAGTAAAGTACCTAAGCTTTATTATATAGTTAAGGGGTAAGGTTTAATATAACTTAAAGAAGATCTAGGTAATATAGACTTAGTAAGTACCTTAGAACGTAAGAAGAGTCTAAAGCTTCTTTTACTTCGCGAACTACTACTAAGCCTTTATACTACTTTATATAAATATATTAGTATACGTAGACGGCCTATATAAAAAGGGCGCGATCTTTAAGTAAATAGATAAGTACTAAGTAACGTTTAAGTTTATTTAAAACGCCTTTTATAACGCCCTAGTACTATAACTTTATAACTTAAAGAGAGAGATATACTTAAAGGTAGACTATTTTAAATATATAATAAAGGGGGCGCTTATATAAGTAGGGCTAGATAGTATATAATACTTAGTAAGATTCTTTTTAAAGAGACTAAACTTAGTAAAGTATAACTACTTAATCTATAATAAAGAAATATTTATAATTATATAGTACTTAGACTTTTAAGGAGTAAAACTTTAAAATATACCTACCTTTATAATACTAACTAACTATAATAACCTAAGGTACTTTATAATAAAGAAAAAGTTAAATAAGAGATAGAGCTAATAGGTAATAAAGCTTATATCCTATAACTTTATATTAGAGTTCTAGCTAGGGAGGCTAATAGTAGTGCTTAACGCGCTATCTTATTATAAGTAAGATTAGCTAGGGGGCGAAATAAATAAGAGAGAGATAAGGTAGGTAGTCTAAATAATTCTAAAGACCGCGTACTTATAAGGCCGCTTAGTCCCTACTAAGGGCTAATATACTAACTTATTAAGACGCCTAACTTAAGATAAGGCGATAGTAGTAGCGCTATAAGTAGGTAAAGGAAGGATAAGCGTAGTAGTATATATTAGCGGAGCGGGGGGGCCTATAAAACGACCTAAGGAAGAGGTAAATAAGGGCGATAACTAGCTAAAACTTAACTTAAACTTAAGCTAAAACATACCTAAAGAATAAGCTAACCTTATACTAGTATTTAACGATTAAGAGCTATAAGAGAGGTAGATAAATACGCTAAGGAAAGATAAAGAGTACTAAGTAGTATTATAAGTAGTATATAAAAGGGAGATATTACTAGTACTAAAATAGTAATTAAAGGTATAGCTAAGTAAATATATAATCGACGTTAAGAGATAGTTATACTTTTACAATAAGCTATAAGTACTAAGGAGGCTAAAGTACTATAAAGGAGAGAGGGCTAAGGAATAAGATATACTTAAGGTATAGATAGCCTAGCGAATATATAACTTAACGGCGGTAGGATACCTAGGGAGAGAGGGGACCTTAGCGATACTAGCTTAAGAATTCTTTTAGCCTAGCTAGTTAGCGATAGTAAGGTAGCTTATTATAAACTATAGACTATATAAAAAGGGGTATATATAAAGGTAGCTTTAAAAGGGACTCTTAAAGCCCTTAATACCGCTATCTTAACTATTTATATACTTATTAATAGACTTTATAGTTAAACTACTACTAATAAAGATAAAAAGTATAAGGTACCTTTAAGTAATTATAGGCTAGCTAATAAAGGCAGTAACGCTTAAAGTAATACTAATAATAAGGGTAGTAGTATATATAATAAGGTTCTTTTAAGCTTATTTTTACTTTTATAAGATACTAAGGTTAATTATATTAAATAAAAAGATCAACTAAATAGGAAACTTTTAAAGGAAGTTCTATAAATAAATAAAAGTATAAAGGAAGTTAAGTTTAGTATACTACCCTTAAATAAATAAGTCGACTAAGCGCGTAAACTAAGAGGTATAGGTATACCTTTGTAACGGGCTGAGCCCGTGAGGGTCTCGGCTCCGCTCTCGACAAGACCCACCGGAGCTCCGCTTATAAGCTCGTGCCATCTTCGAGAGCTTTCCTTTCTTTTCTTTTCTTCTTCTTTTCTCCTTAGCTTTAGGATACTCGTCGCAGTCGCTCAGCTAGTTGTCAACACACTCAGTTGAGACCGTTACATTATCCTAAAGCTTAGCTTTCATCGTTAAAGCCTTTGATCACAATCAATTGGCAGCGCTGTTCAGTTCCCTTTGTGGGTACGCGGAGTGGCAGTAGCTTGGGCAATCCTGTGTGGAACGCCCGCGACGAAAGTGCGTGTGTACGGCGCCAAAGCCAGCTTGGCTCGCGTCGCGTAGCTCATCTCCCGAGCAAAGGACGTGGAGCGTCAATCTGCTCTCCGTACGGCGTGCGGTTGAGCGAGAAGTACGTGATTGCTGCTTGGCTCCCAGTGTGGACGGCAGCAGCTGGACTAGAAGCCCTGTGCAGAACGTCCAGCCGTGTAGGAAGGAGCCTTCGAGGCGTTGATAGCGTTCGACCGTTGTCGAGATATCCCTTCCGTATCAGACTTGCTGTGTGATCAAGTCGCCCTCAGTCCTGAGAGCCGAGGAAAATCTTCAGTCATGGAGGCAATCGATTCCCAGCAAGGTTCTTTTGAGCCTCAATCGATGATGCAAGCCCTGGCTGCAGTGATGGACAAACTAGAAAGTGTGTGCAAGCCAAGAGGCCGAACGCGAAGAGATGCGATCGCAGATCCGAATCCTCAAACAGCCGTCTCAACTCCGACTCCGGCAAATGAACCAGTCGCTCCTATCGAACCGATGTCCGACAACACGCCTCAATCGATCGAGACCCGAAAGAATCCCATCAAAGAGGTAAAACCAACCTTGCCTGATCCGCCGAAATTCGATGGAACCAGGAAAACTTCCGTCCCTGGTTCTTAGAGATGAAAGCGAAATTGGCTGTGGACCGACAGGCATTCGACAATAAAGAAGCACTCTTCGCCTATGTGTACTCCCGGTTGGCGGGAACAGCCCAGAACATGGCCGCTGCTTATTACGAACAGGGCGGTATCGATGGTGCTCGCTCCCAGATCTGTTTCTCGACTACTTGAACCGTCGGTACGGGGACCCGAACGCAAAGGCACGAGCACTGGATCGACTTCGATCGTTGAAGCAGAAGCCTGATGAGAGTTTCGCCAGTTTCTTCCCAAAGTTCGAGAAAGAGCTTGCCGATAGTGGCGGTGGCGAGTGGGCCGACGTGGTGCAAATCAATTACTTGGAAGGAGCAATTAATAATAGGCTCAAGTCGAGTCTCGTCAGTGCCGTCAGTCTCCGAAGGATTTCAACAGCTACGCCGAGCTACTCTTGACGATTGGCTCGCGCCTAGATAGCCTCAATTTCCACCAACGACAACAAGGCCGCGCGCAGAGGTCAAGAAAGGAGTATGGTCGTTTATCCGAACCGCTCGAGTCCCGACAAAGCCCCGTCACCCGGATCGCCAACCACGTCGTCCCCGTCCGATGATCAGATGGATTGGGAACCCGTGAAAGCAAATCGGTTGATAAACGGCAGGAGGGCCCCGGAGGAAAAGCAATTTGTTCCGTTGGAGGAGCGCAAATGTTACGAGTGCGGGAAGCTTGGCCATCTTGCGGCCAAGTGTCCCGGAAGGCGGCGGCAGCAGAGAGTCAAGGTCCGTGTCGAAGAGAAGACAAGAAGCTCGAGCAAAGCACCAAGAGCCCGCGGAGAGTTCTAGCGGGGATACCTCCGATGACCATTCGGAAAACGAGTAGCTCCTGACGAAAATCGCCGTCAGGAGCGCGCAAAGGCTGAGGCGGAATGGGCAACTCAGAAGGACGAGATGGACTGTGAAGGCCTCTACGTAAATTTCGGTATCAATCGAGTATTTCACCACGGCCTTCGTTGACTGTGGTTGCCTGTGTTATGGGACCATCAGTGAGCGCCTTGCCCGCAAGCTTCACCTGCCGCGTATTCCGATTAAACCTCGAGCGTTGGAGCAGGTCAACACATTCTCACCCGAGGCCATCTGTGCCGTGACCTACTTCGACTTCGATATCGACGGGTACCAGAAGAAAAGAGCTTTTTTCTACGTTGTGCGAGACCAGACCGATCCTGTGATTCTGGGCAAGAAGTGGTTGAACCAGGAGGATGTCACCTTGCGATTATCGCAGAACCTCTTGCATATCGGGACGCACGACCATTGGGTGAAAGGCCGAGACCCGAAGGAGGAGGAACGGTGCAACATACGAGGACAGGCGGCGTTCGTGTTCGCCGGAATGGTTCGCCGAGCAAGAAAGTTCAAGCATCGAGACGATGGAGTGCGGATCTTCGCCGCAAGCCTGAAAGACATTGAGAAGGCATTGACTCCGAGGAAGAAGTCAGACCCGAGAGAGAAGCTGCCCCGTCACTACCACGAGTACCTATCCGTCTTCGACCGCGACCAAGCGGACCAACTCCCACCGCGTCGTCCGGGGTGTGATCACAAGATTCAGTTAGAGAGGTCCTGATGACAAGGAGAAAGAACCGCCGTGGGGACCATTGTACGGCATGTCACGAGAAGAGCTCATTGTTCTGCGAAAGACTCTCACTGAGCTACTCGACAAGGGTTTCATTCGAGCAAGTAGTTCTCCAGCGTCAGCACCAGTTTTGTTCGTGAGGAAGCCCGGTGGTGGTCTGCGCTTTTGCGTGGACTATCGAGGATTGAATGCGATCACCAAGAAAGACCGATATCCCTTGCCGTTGATCGAGGAAACTTTGCGGTCGCTGTCCAAGGCCAAGTGGCTCACCAAACTTGACGTTATCGCAGCATTTCACAAGATTCGCGTCGAGGAGGAGACGAGTGGAAGACAGCATTCAGAACACGTTACGGACTCTACGAATGGCTTGTCACGCCATTCGGGTTGACGGTGCTCCGCAACGTTTCAGCGTTACATAAACCACACGTTGCGAGATTTCCTCGACGAGTTCTGTTCCGCTTACATTGACGACATCTTGATCTACTCGAGCGGTTCGCTCGCAGATCATCGCAACAAAGTCAGGCAGGTCCTTGCTCGACTGCGAGATGCAGGCCTGCAGATTGATATCGACAAGTGTGACTTTGAGGCAAAGAGTGTCAAGTACCTGGGCTTCATCGTCGAAGCCGGGAAAGGTATCCGCGTGGACCCGGAGAAGGTGCAGGCAATTCAGCAGTGGCAGCGACCCCGTTCTGTCAAAGGCGTCAGAAGCTTTCTGGGGTTTGCCAACTATTACCGGCAATTCATTCCCAGATTCTCCAACATCGCCGCGCCTCTAACGGCGTTAACAAAGAAGGATGCGGTGTTTGCGTGGTCGAAGGAGTGCGACAAGGCCTTCGAGGAGTTGAAGGCTCTTCTGACCAGTGCGCCGGTCCGCGCAATGGGATCCGGATAGAGAGACGATTGTGGAGACGGATTCATCCGGTTATGTCACAGGAGGGGCGCTCTCGCAAAAGGGCGATGACGGCATCATGCGGCCTGTGGCCTTCTTCTCAAAGAAAAACGCACCGGCGGAGTGCAACTACCCAATCCACGATAAAGAGCTGCTGGCGATCATTCGCTGCCTTGAGCATTGGGACGCCGAATTGAGGTGTGAAGTCCTTTACCGTTTTGACGGATCATCTCAACCTCCGTTACTTCACCAGAAGCAGCAACTGAGTGAACGTCAGGCGCGATGGGCTGAGACGCTATCGCGGTACAGCTTCACCATCAAGCATCGACCGGGCAAAGAAGCCGTCGTACCGGACACGCTGTCTCGACGAGAACAGGACATGCCGCACAGCGCCGAAGATGATCGGTTGCAAGGACGACGTGTTCAGCTGCTGCAACGTAACAAGGGTGGCCTGGTGACAAAAGTCAAGAGCGGTTATGTCACCAAGGGCGACACGGATCAACCCGATGACGCAACAACTGACCAAGACGACTCAATCGAAAACCCTTTCTCGGACCCGGAACTGCAGAAGTTATGGGACGAAGGTGTCAAGAAGCACAATCGTTATTGGCTCATCCGAAAGGCCGTACAGCAAGGCGAGAGGCGTCTGCCGTCGCATTGGGGACTGCCCGTGATGCTCTCGGAATGCTCGATTGACGATGGACAGCGGCTCTGCTGGCGAGCGAATTTGGGTGCCGAACCACGAACCCCTGCGCACGCGGCTTATGCAGGAGACGCATGACTCAACGCTTGCAGGACACCCCGGACGGGACATGCTGAAGTCCTTGTTGAGCCGCAAGTTTTATTGGCCAGGCCTCGATTCAGACGTGCGTCAATTTGTGAGAAATTGTGATGTGTGGCCGAAGCAACATTTGGCGAGAGAAGCGTCGCGGTTTATTGAAGCCGCTACCTATTCCAGACAGGATCTGGTCGGAGCTGTCAATTGACTTTGTGACAGACCTGCCACCAACCAAGTCGAACGGTTCGACCAACCTTATGGTCGTGACGGACAGACTGTCCAAAAGTGTCGTTCTTGAGTCATTGAAGGACATCACGGCCGAGACGACGGCCAGAGCATTGCTACGGAACGTGGTGCAACACCATGGCGTGCCGCGCGCGATCGTCACTGACCGTGGCACGCAATTCACCAGTAGACTATGGCAGAGGCTCTGCGAGCTGCTACGCGTGAAGCAAAGATTGTCTACGGCGTGGCATCCCGAGACTGACGGTGCAACAGAAAGGGCGAATCAGGAAGTCGAGAGATATCTGAGGATCTTTGCTGCTTATGCTCAGGATAACTGGGAAGAGCTGTTGCCAGCGGCCATGATGGCCATCAACAATCACAACTCGACGTCGACAGGCCTGAGCCCGTTCTTTATCACGCATGGGTATCATGTTGACCCGATACAAGTCAAGGAGAAGTTACGGACGGACGGAAGGTCCCCAGTGACCAGGGCTGAAAGCATTGTGCAACGATTTCGAGAGGCAACGGAATGGGCCCAGGCGGCAATTGCGTCAGCGCAAGAGCAGCAAGAGAAGAACGCCAATTCGCGAAGACAGCCGTCAGACCAGTTCAAGCCTGGAGACAAGGTATGGCTGCGACTTCGCAACATCCGATCCAATCGGCCATCCAAGAAGCTCGATTGGCTGTCGGCCAAGTACACCGTCCTGGAGACCATTGGGTCACACGCGTGCAGGCTGGACACGCCTCCGGGAATACACAACGTGTTCCACGTGTCGCTCTTACGCTTAGCAGCGGACGATCCGCTACCGTCACAGACGTCGGATGACTACCGCCCACCGGCCATTTTGACGGACGATGGCGAGCTGTGGGAAGTGGAAGAGATTCTGGACAGGAAGAAAGTCGGGAGAGTGGAAAGTGTTGGTGAAATGGGTCGGATGGATAGGTCCGACGTGGGAGCCAGTCAAGTACGTCGCAGACACAATAGCACTGGCTAGGTATGAAGAAGTTCATGGGAAAGTTGGATCGAAACCACCCCAATCGAAACTATCGAAACGGGGAGGAAGGAGGGGTTATTGTAACGGGCTGAGCCCGTGAGGTCTCGGCTCCGCTCTCGACAAGACCCACCGGAGCTCCGCTTATAAGCTCGTGCCATCTTCGAGAGCTTTCCTTTCTTTTCTTTTCTTCTTCTTTTCTCCTTAGCTTTAGGATACTCGTCGCAGTCGCTCAGCTAGTTGTCAACACACTCAGTTGAGACCGTTACAACCTTTAAGTATATATTTACTATAGCTAGGATAACTAAGGAGCGTAGCTACTATATATATAAGCTATATTAAATAACTATATAGCGTTAATAATAAGTATAAACCTATTCTTTATAATATATAGATATAATATTAAGCTAGTTTAAATAGTAAGGGTAAAAGAGCTACTAGCGCTAAAAGTAAGAGGGGTAAAGGAGCTCGCTTAAAAGATAAAAGAGGTAATTAACTTCCTATAAACTACTATTACTATAGTATAAGTAAGATAAAAGGAAACAGCGAACTAAAAGAAAGCTCTTATAAAGAGGTTTAAAGTAAGTAATAAAGTATAAGTAGATATAACTAAATATATAACTAACTAGATATATAAAAAGCTTAACTAGCTATACTAAAAGTATACTATAATAAAGGTAGTAAGCCTATATATAGTTAAGCTTAATATACTAAGAAGGGTATATAAGAGGCTTTATATAGAATTTCTCTACTAAGCGATAAATAACCTATTACTTAAATAAGTAGTTAACGACTACTAACAACTACTAGTAATTAAGGAGGATAATAAGCTTAAGTATATCGTCGAAGAGATTTAATAGGTATAGTAAAAGTAAAGAAGGAAAGGTAGATAGTAATAAGTACTTATAAAGTAGTAGGGGTATATAAACCTATTATAGTACCTATTAAATAACTTCTAGGATATAAAAGTCTTAAAGATATTTAAGAGATAGTAGGGAAATATAAGGGAGAATAATAAAGGAAGGGCGAGAGGAAAGAAATAAAAAGAAGGTAGAAGATAAAGAAGGGGAAGTAAAGGATAAAAGGAGGAGAAAGAAAAGAAGGTAGGAGTTAAGGGACGCTTATTAAAGAATAAGAAAAGGATAGAAAAGAACTATATTATTAAAGGGAAATAATAAAGGATAAATAAAAGATAGATAAAAGATAGATAGTAATAAAAGATAGATAAGGATAAGGATAAAGGTAAGATATAATAAGATAAGATATAAATATAATAAGATATACTAAGGATATTAACTTAATTCTAAATAACTATAAATGCCTCTTAACTACTACTTAATTACTTTAAGATATTAAGGTATATTTAAGCTTAATATATAGATATAGTAGTATAGGTAAGCTTAGTATACTAAAATAATAGTTAGAGATAAGTAGTAGGATAAGGTTAATCTTAAGGTATATAAGTAAAAGCGGAATTTTAGGGAATTAAGGAATTACGTAAGACTATATAATAAAAGGGAAGAAGGAGTATAAGGTAGGGTTTTTAATAGAATTTATTAGTAATATATTAGTATATAAAAGAGGTGTTAAAGTTAATAATCCTCTCTCTATCTACTAGCGGATATACTATCTTATATAGATAATTATAGCTAAACGGAAGAACCTTTTAGGACTAGACTTAGGCTACTATATAGCCCTAAAACTAAGGAATTTAGTAATACCTTAAGTATATTTAGGAAGTATCTTAGTTCTACTAATATTTATATTTAAAGGAGGTTAGTCGTGCTAGTGTTTTTAAGAGGTCTTAGCTAGTATTCTAAGCTAGCTCTGTTTCTTTAATTCTTAATTATACGATAACTAGCAACCCGTTTAATATATAATAATATATAAAGTAACGAGCGATTCTTGCTCTATAATATAGGATTTTATCTATAATTAATATACGACTTATTAGCTTATATAATCGGGAGAGTATATTATAGCTACTTTATTTATAATAGGAACACCGTTCCTTATAGTTAAAAAGGAAATAAAGTATATATATAAAGGTTACTTTAATAGTTATTAAACGTCCGTTAAGATATATAGTTTTAAAAGGTATTAATAATAGTAATTATATCTTTAATATACTACTATTATATTAGTATTTTATTAAATAAAGTTAAAGGAAAGTAATAGATAAAGAGGTAGCGTAATTTAATATAGGTATAAGTAAAGTAGTTATAAGTATATAGCAATACTTAGTTTTAATAGGTACTATACTATATCTTAATATTTAGTAATGTTATTTAGCTTATTTAAGTAAGATAGGGTAGCCGCTATATAGTAGTACTATAGGTCGCGCTATACTTATTAAGAGATATAAGCGGGCGCGTAAACTAGCGCGAGGGCGGTAGAATATAGTCGCTAAGCGTACTAAGAGGTAAGGTACTACTACGCGGAGTAAAGAAGCTAGCGGGCGTATAAGGGCCTATAGTAGTTATAATATAATACGGCGCGGCGATAGAAGTTAGGTAGAGTAAGGGTATACGCGTAAAAGGAGTAAAGCTTAAAAGAGGGAAAAGAAAAAAAAAGGAGAAGGGAAAGAAAAGGGGTATTTATACGCGGTAGGGTATATATATAGTTAGTAAGATATAAGGGTATATATATAAAAGAGGGAGGAATAGGGCGGAATAAGTATATAAAAGGGCAGTATATAAAGGGATAAGGCGAGTATAAAGTAAAAGGAAGTAACCGCGCGCGCTTAAGAAAAGGGGAAGGTAATAAAAAAAAAGGGGTAAGAGAGAAATAAAAGTACTACTAATAAGAGGGGGAAAGTAAGGGTAGTATTATAAGCTACGCCTATAAAGGGTTAAGGTTATATTATAGTAACTATACTAAAGTTAGGCTAAAGTAAACCTATATATAAATAAAGCTTAACTTAAACTTAAGCTAAATAGTACTTAAATATAGGTTAAGCTAAGGACTAAGGAAGATAAATAGCTATTTTAACTAAGATAGAGTTTTCCTCTTTTCTCCTTAGCTTTAAAGAAATAATTATTCGGCCTTATACTACTATATTAAGTATATACTAGTCCCTTAATAGCTTCCTTTAAAAGTATAAGCCTTAGCTAGTTATTTATAAGAACTAGTAAGAAAAGGAAGGTCTTTTTACTAAGGTAACTACTTTAGTAAAGATATCTTTTTAGACCCTTATAGCTATAATAGTAGAATTTTACTTTAAACTTAATTAAATAAATATAGTTAATACCTTTATTTACTACTTATTTAAGAAAGAAGAAGTTATTTATATATACCTTTTACTAAGCTTTTAATAGCTATAAAAGGTTCTATAGCTTAGGAAAGCTTTATATAGATTATAAAAATTACCCTTTCTTTAATAATAGTATTTAATAAGTTCCCTTAAAGCCCTAAGCTTTAAGAAAGTCCCTTAGGAACTATATATAGTATAGAAGGGTAAAATTATAGTCTTTTTTTACGTTAACGATATTATCTAAGCTTACTTAAAAGAGGAGGAAGTAACTACTAAGGAGGCTATATAAGGCCTATAATAAAGGTATAAAATAACTAAGCTAAGGGAGCTAAAGTAGTTACTAAGGATTTAAATCCTTTAAAATAAGTCCTAATAAACTATCTAGCTTACCTAAGACGCTTATATTAATAAAGTCGCTTATAAATTCCTCCTTAATACCCTTAATAAAAAGCTTCCCTTTATACCTATTATAAATAAAGAGCTTTTACTTAATCTATCCTTTTAAGCTAAGAAGTAAAAGAAATACTAATATTAATAAAAGGTAAGCTATTATATACTAGTCCCTTAGTATAAAGCTAGTACTTTAACCTAGCTATTTATTTAGATCTAATATAGGTCTAATAAGTAACTAAATAATCTAGCTATTATATATAGTTAAATATATTATATAAACTAGCTACTATATACTATTACGCGCGTTAAATATAAACCAGCTACTAGTCTTTTAAGTTAAAGTAAGAGTAGTAATAACTATTTATATTCTTTTTTACTTACCTAAGATTTAATAAGTTCTCTATCTTTTATATATACTATAATAAGTATAAGACCTTACTTAAGGCTTTAACTAACTAATATCTTAACCTTATAATTATATAATAGTAGTATAGTATATTAGTAGTATTTCCTAGTATCTTCCTTAAGTAGGCATAGGTATTTCTTTATAATTTCCCTATTATATTCTTATAGTAACTTTTTAAGGAAATATTAATCTTATCCTCAAGGAGCTATTATTACTTAGGAAATTATAGTATATTCCCTATATAATATATCCTTAAGGGAAACCTCTAAAAAATATCTATATAATCCGCTTAGGTACTATTATTATTAAGATTATACTAGTAACCTATCTAAAGGTATCTAGAACTTCGACGTTAAATAAGAGGGAAAAACTAAAGTGCTTAGAGGAAAACCCTCCCTTCTTTCGTAGCTAGTCCGCTCTTATACCGGGTCGCGGTTATAATACGTAGGAATCTTACGCTAGCTATCTTAGGTATCGTTATAGTTAGTCGGAATTATATTAGCCCCGCTATAAAGTAACCTTAGAAAGTAACTCCTTTACGTATATAGGGTATATAGCGTTAATCGGTAGTATAAGCGTTTTTTAGTTAACGGTTAATAGTTAATTATATAATTATCTCCGACCTTATCCTATAACGATATCTTTCTAGGCTCTACCTTATTTTTCCGCCGTAAGGCTTAGCGGGCTATTTTTATTAATGCCGGCCTTTAGCCGGGCCGGTAGTCGGGTTATTACACCGGCTTCGCGCCGTACTTATTAAGTTACTAGTATCGGCCCTAGGTTTTTATTTTCCTAGTCGGGGGGCCCGGACCGGGGTTAAGGGGAGGTCCTAACGAATTCGTCGCTAGGTCTAGGTAAGCGAGGTCCGGGCCGGCCTACTTATAGCGGGGCTAGACTGCTAGTATATTTATAAGCGCTTCTAGAAGCGCTAATTAGCTAATTAATAAGTAGGTTAGCGTAGTTTACTAGTCTAACTAAAAATTAATTATGCCCTTAGCCGGATTTAAACCGACTCTAGGGTTATAGCTAGTAGGCTTCCTAGG